AGCATTTTATGTCATTCTAAAGTGCCGAATCTGGCTGGTTAGCTACCTTGCATGCTAGACAGCTTAGCTTAATTGCTAATACAAAACACTACACTGCACAGGTTTGTGCTCAAACTCACAAAAATGTCCACAATTACACAAAATCTTGCGTATTTCTGAGCAAGGCTTGCATATTTCACTGTTAATTGTGAAAAGGAGAGCAGTAGATTCCTAACTAGCTTATGTCATGTTAGCAGTGTTAGCAGTAATTTCAAAAACCAACACATCAACGTACGACTCTAGCTTACATGCTAGTGCTTCACTGGTGATCAGACATGGTGATGGGACGTAAAACACCGACATGGTGTAAAGAGCTTACAGGTGGATGCTAGGTGTAGAGAGTTTACCTTAGGGCGCCATAACCTGGTTAAGAAGCTAACGCTATTAGCATTTATGCTAGCAGTCACAGAGCAAGTTTTTTGGCTCATATTTTCACACCTGACTGAGAAAAATAAAAGCTTTGTTTGATTTTACTTCTATCTCTGTGTAAGTGTAGACATTTGTGTTAGTGTGTGTGCAGAACGGTGCAGTGTATGGTTTCATGTCAGCTGATTAGCTAGCTGCCAAAGCAGCGTTGCTAATTAGCCAAATTAGATGCTTTAGAGTGATATAAAATGACCAAAAAGAGCATTAAGTGGTTAATTGTGGTTAGCAGGTAGAGCTGCACTGGCACAACAGGATTTGTACTAATCCTGAGAGGTATTTACCCAAGATAGTGGAAAAAGAGTACATTTTAAACTGCCCTTTTTGGTTAATAACTTTTTGTGGTTAATTTTTGTCACATAATCATGAACTTGCACCCACCTTTCATTTCATTGCAGGGTTTAATAAAGAAGCAGTCACACTGTAAAGGTTTTTCCCACTGCACATTTTAAAATAAGAACTGACCCAAAAATGAAACAACTGAACTTACAGTTCTGGTTCTGGTTCACTTTCCACCTGCTCAAGAGACGGCCGGAATGATTATACCAACCACAATTAACCATTTAATGCATATTTGATGTCACTCTAAAGTATCGAATTTGGCTAAATAGCAACTCTGCTTGGCAGTTAGCTTTATTGGCTACTATCAACAAACCTTTATTTTTCTTGAAAGTGAAAACATGAGCAAAAACACTTGTTCCATGTCTGCTAGCACAAATACTAACAGCATTAGCTTCTTAACTAGATTATGACACCTTATTTTGAACTGTCTACAAAGCAAAAAATTCCAAAAATAGCAATCAGTACATCGTCACACCATTCTAGTTTACATTCTGGTGCACTTGTTGGTCGTATAATGGTGCTGGTCAACTTCAACTGCATCTGGAAGAGTAAAGGATTCTCTAAATTGTCCTGAGCTTCAGCTGCATGTGTTTGCAAACACAGAGGATCCCTCAGTGGGGTTAATACTGCTTATAGCAGCTCTACCTACTTTAGAAAGCTGGAAAACAGGAAAAATGTGAGCAAAATCCATTATAAACCTCAGTACATTTGACATTTACAGCCTCAAACACAAGATGTTACTGGTATTGCCAATGTTTTTGTCTGTTATGTTTGTATTTACTGTGCCATAACCCTGCTAGACAAAAACAACATAGACAAGTATAGCTGGTCACCAGTAAAACCAGTGTATGTTGTGTTTTGGATGCTAGTGAGCAGCAAAACCAGCATATGTTGTGTTTTGAAAGCTGGTATACTGGTAAACCAGTTAAAAGAAAACCTTGTACCTCCAAAATGATAACTTTTCAGGAGAGGGAAAAAACCTACTTCACTTTTAATGTAAATCAATGGAATCAGATTTTTTTCCATGTCATTTTATTTTAGTCCATTCATCATGAAATTGACATACAATGTAAAGGGTAACAGGTATTTTCAAATTATGTAAAAAACTGAAACACACACAAAAATGGAGATTTTTGAGGTTTTCTTCCAACAACAGCGATATGTTGTGTTTTGTTGATGGTATGCTGGTCACCAGTTAAACCAGCATATGTTGTGTTTTGTTGATGGTATGCTGGTCACCAGTTAAACCAGCATATGTTGTGTGGATGCTGGTCACCAGTTAAACCAGCATATGTTGTGTTTGCTGGTATACTGGTCACCAGTTAAACCAGCATATGCTGTTTGCTGGTATGCTGGTCACCAGTAAAACCAGCATATGTTGTGTTTGCTGGTATGCTGGTCACCAGTTAAACCAGCATATGTTGTGTTTGCTGGTATGCTGGTCACCAGTTAAACCAGCATATGCTGTGTTTGCTGGTATGCTGGTCACCAGTAAAACCAGCATATGTTGTGTTTGCTGGTATGCTGGTCACCAGTTAAACCAGCATATGTTGTGTTTGCTGGTATGCTGGTCACCAATAAAACCAGCACACATGTTATGGATACTGGCAGCTGGTCACCAGTATAATCAGCATATGTTGTGTTTTGGATGCTGGTAGATAAACCAACACCAGACCTGCATAAACCACCTTAGACCAGCTTAGATGCTGTGATCCAGTCGGCACCCGTCTTGGGCACCGCAAACCACAAACTGGACCATTTTGGTACTACATTGATAGCCAAAGAACGACACACAGTTCCAGTATTCTGGTTCCAAAGGTTCCTGTGCAATGGAAAAACACCCTAATGAGGACTAAACAAGCAGGCCTGTTAGCACTCTCAGTTCATTGATCATCAAAAGTGCACTGTATTGAACATGTTTGAGCTTCTTGTTTGTGAAGGTTTCTGGGAAATGATGGAAATTATATTTTACAGATCGGCTCTTTGATTTGTTCCAATCAAACAGAGTCTGGATTTTTAACACCAAGCCCAATTTGGATCTTCATACTCACAGGTTGCTCTTATTTTACTGACGAAAATAAACAGAAACAAGTTAATCGGTCCCACTTCATAATGAATGTCTCTAATAACTGTGTAGGTACACGTGAATAACATATGCAACAACAATGTAACTACTGAAGATTTGGTCATTGTCATAGATGTATTACAGAATTACAGCCTATGTAATTACACATGTGTATCAATTTCAGTTTTGCCTCATGTAATTACACAAGTATATCCTTTTTATACACTACAGATCAAGTCTTTTCCAGCTGTAAAAGGAAGCAAGTTGTACATAACATTAAATTTGGTATCATTTATGTTATAATTACTGTGGAATAACTGTGTTGTAACAAAGTAACCTAATCACATCACATTGATTGATACCATTCTGTAATTACACAGTACTTATAACAACTACACAGGAACTTTCCTGTAGTGTCGTGTTTAAGTTACACTTTAAATGTACCATAAATGTGGTAGACTGATTTGAGGGTACTGCAACACATTTAACTAGAAAGGAAAACTTCATAAACAAACTTTAAGTTGGCTTGAAAAAGCCAGAAAATTACGTTAAAACGTGAAAATGTTGGAAGACTGTTGATGGTTGCTAAAGTGTTGCTTAGATGTTGCTAGGCAGTTGCTAAGGTATCCAATGCTCATTGGATTATTTTGCTACCTTAAATAAAATTCCACCTTAAATCCACTGCCACGTTACATTCAGTTCCACCTTAAATTTAGCTCTACCTTAAATGGAGTTACACCTTAAATTCTGTGCCACCTTAATTTTTATGCTACCTTAAGTGCAGTCCGACCTTAAATTCAGTGCCACCTGAAATTTAGTGCTACGTTAAATGGAGTTCCACCTTTAATTTAGTGCCACCTTAAAAGAAGTTCCATCTGAATCTGAATCTGGTTACAATGTCACAGCACTAGCAACATAAATGCTAGCTAAATGTTAGTAACAAAACAATATTAGTAAAAATATACAGGTTTAACACGATATTAATATGGACTACTGTGACATTTTACCGAGTAAAATAGTAAAATAATACTAAAAGTAATAATATAAAATTTGGAGAAATATTATTTTCACTGAAATGTCTCATTTCTGGACAGCCCAAAGAAAAATGACCTTGCTTTAAACCTTTGGCCATTGAGTGCTATGACACTTACGCACATTTTGCCTATACTTTCAACTTTGTCATAATTATTTGTTTCTTCTTATTCTACATTTTTATTCTACTTTTTTATTCTTTCTTCTTTTTACTCTAAAATTTGAATGTACCGAAGGGTTGATTCAACAATACCTTGTTGAGGAAAATGCTATTTGTCCTAATTCTCTTGGGGTTAAATTATATTCTTCCTGCTTGTGGTATTGAAGGATGCACAAGTAACTGTGCATTGATTATCCCATTTAATAGACACTCTTTGAAGTTAAATGTTGCACTGTTAACCCCAAAGATTCATAAATTCTATTTTGTCTTTACTTCAAAAGTGAAGGAAGTTAACCAGACTGAAATGCATATTATGTGGATCTTTAAACTGCAATGCAAAGTAGTCTGTTTACATTCATGTGGCTGTCCAGCATCTACAGGAACTGGATGAGTTTTACTGCCCTGCAAAATTCCTTCATACAGTGAATCCCACCACCATAAAATGATTCGGTCAAACGATTGTTACTAGCACGTTTATGAGTCATTTATTGAATTTAGGCATTTTACTGAAAATAATGTAGTTTTTTTAATAAAAATGAGGACTTTTATTTTGGAAAAAAAATGTATATCAGTAAAATGACACACGAGTCCATATTAATGTCATGTAAAACATGTATACTTTATAAATGTTGATTTAAACATTCATGAAGATGTTATGAAGCGTTTATAAGATGTTATAAATGTGTTATGTAGACGCCCTTTAAGTAAAATGTTACCGAATAATTGCTATGAAATGAAAATGAAAATTGAGATGACAGTGCGTCTTTAATAAGCTGCGCTCTTCATTTTTTTGTGCTGATTTTTGTTTAGAAATTTAAACCACATACTTTAAAACACACAGACGATTCATAAGCATTACCTGCACGTACACTGCAACCCAGAGTTCATGCTGTTTCTCTCTCTCTCTCTCTCTCTCTCTCTCTCTCTCTCTCCCTCCAG